CCCCCCCCCCCCCCCCTCTAGACTTTGTATCTCACCACTTTGGAACCACCAATTGGTATCAGAGCAAACTTCTCACTCTCTACGTTTAGATTAACGAGAAGCGATCATAATGGTGAACAATATGGATCACGGTTCGCCCAAGTTTTCTCTTCTAGGTTATGATGATTGGAAGATCATGATGGAAGCACACCTCTACGCTCTACATGATTGCATGTGGATGGTGCTTGAGGATGGACCCTTGAAAATCCAAATGGAGAATCCTGAGAGGAATCCAGCAACTACAGACGTAGTCCAATACATTCCAAAGCCCAAGGAAAAATGGGATGATAGAGATTGCAAAAAGCACAATCTGGATAACGTCGCCAAAGCAGCCATCTTCAAGACACTTGACCCCATCACCTTCTCCAAAATAAAGCATCTCAAGACTGCCATGGAAATATGGCAAGGTCTTGGGAAGCTATGTGAGGGTTCAGAGGACTTGAGAAAGCAGAAGATAGAAGTCCTGCTTGAGAAGTTCAAAGGCTTCAAAATGCTTCCCGGAGAATCATTTGATATGCTGGATGAAAGATTCCACAAAATCTTGAATGATCTTGCATCACTTAACCACGTTCTTTATCCCAAAGAAAAGAATGTAAGGTTGCTGAGATCTCTTCCAACTGAGTGGTACACCAAAGCCACAGCCATGGAAGAAGGAAGAAATCTGGAGAACTACACTGTCCAAGGTCTTCTTGATGAGCTCAGAACCTATGAGCACGAACTGAAGAAGAAGAAGAAGGAAGAACAAGTCACTCCCTTCCCCACGACACTGATGACAACTCCAAGAGTCCCATCAAGTGAAGGGACATGCTTAAGGAACTGTGACACACCCTCCTCCAGCCAGCCGTCAAGTTCAAAAATGGAGAACTACGATGAGGAATTTGCCATGATGGTCAACCAATTCTGAAAGTTCAAAAAGTTCTTCAAGAAAGCTGACTCAGTCAGAAGGCCATCCAAGGGAAAGCCATAGGTAAGTGACTCTCCTCCTGAATCTTATTTGTGTTACAATTGCAGGAAGCCTGGCCACTGGAAGTCAGCATGCCCATACCCAAAGGTGGAGAAGTACGGAGAGAGAAAAAGGAACGAGAAGAAAAAGAAGGCAATGGTTGCTGCTGAGAGTGACGAGTCATCCAGCTCAAGCTCAGATGAAGAAGCCCTCGTCTGCATGGAGCGCAGAGTTGAAAAGTCCAACCATGAGGATAGGTGGACTATGTCAGAAGATGACACTCTCTGCCTAATGGCCAAAGATGATGCTGATCAAGAGGTAACCTCACAAACCTCCTGCTCATCTTCTTATGAAAGCATACCAACTTCTGAAAATCTTTTTGACCAGTTCAAAAAGATGATAGTAGATTTTGAGGAAATAAATCTCAAACATTCTTCCTTAACAGAGGAGAACAAACTATTGAGTGAAGAGAATCTCAAGTTGACTAAAGGTCGGAAAAGTCAACTGGATGAGATCACTCAACTCAAGACTGAAAATGAATCTCTCTCTGAAAAGGTGAAATCCCTTAACAAAGAACTAGGGATACTTAAGTTCAAAGAAGCAGTAGATAAGCTTCTTGAAACGACCAAACATAAGGGTCGTGAAGGACTTGGGTTTGACCCCTCCAGTTCCAAAAGAAAAGGGAGAACAACTTTCATCCCTCCTAAACCTACTGCCAAACCAAATAAGCAGAAAGGAAAGGAAAAGGAGAATCCAACAGAAGTTCCCAAAGAGGTAGTCCCTCCTAAGAACTATAGGAAGCTTGACAAACCTCAAAAAGGAAATAATTTCAGAAGAAAACCTTCTAACCCCCATTACACACGAGGCCATACTCATTATGGGGTAGATAGGAGTTTTCCAAGAAATTCTGAGTGGAGAACTATGCCACGATATAGTCATCCTCCACCCTAGAAATTATTTGTGCCACCTAAGTATGCTTATAACCGAAACAGGCCACACTATGCACAACCTAGACAAAATCATAAGTCTTATCAACCTAGGTTTGCTAGGAGGAAACAGGAAATTGCACCTCCTGCACGTAGGAAGTTTTATGCCTACAACTATGATTACAATCCCAACAAGTTTAGAGCGGCTAGGAAAATTCCCTGCAACTTCAAACTTGATGTAGGGACACACACCATTAACTACTCCAGACCCAAACTTAATTGGGTATCAAAATCTTCTTCCTCCTAATGCAGGAAGCCGCTAAGTACCTGTTAGACAAATGTGCAACTCTAGAGGGGGGGTGAATAGAGTTGTTTTCAAGAATGTGCGTTTTTCGTAAAAATTATCGCAGGAATAAGTAAAGAGAGTAAGGGAAAGAAGAACACCAGGATTTATACTGGTTCACCACCTCGTGGCTAGTCCAATCCTCCGAGAGACTCTCTCGAAAGTTCTACTAATCTTCAAGCTTCAACGGGTGCTTGAAAAACCGGTACAACTTGAGAACTTGAATCACACAAGCCTCACTTTCTTACAACAACAAGACTTGAGTCACACAAGTCTTAAGAACAACACTCAAATGAGATTGAGTTTACAACACAAGAATGAAAGCTCACACAATTGAGCAAAGTAGTGTTGAAAATTTAAGCTCTATGGATGACAACTTCTATAGCACTCAAAAAAAAATATTTCTAACTCTCAAAAATAATATTTTGATGAGGAAGATGAAGCAAAGGATGAATAGCTCAAAGAAATATATTGGAGTGCAAGAGGTGTGTGTTGAAATGAAGGAGAATAAGGGATTAAATAGGCTGAGGAAAATAAAGCCGTTGAAGAAAGCTGATGTTCTGTACTAGAGATAATTAATCGATTAAATTAGGAATTTTAATCGATTAAAGTGTACAGAAGCGAAAAGCCTGAAAAGAAAACTGAGTCATAATCGATTAAATGAAGACAAATAATCGATTAGGAGGTTCGGTACAAACTAATCGATTAAAAGAGGAAAAATAATCGATTATTGATCAAGGTTGAGCAGCCCAACGAAAGGCTTAAAAATCGATTAAATTGAAGAAATAAATCGATTAGGAGGTTCTGTCCAAGCTAATCGATTTTTTTAATAGAAAAAATCGATTAAGAATTCAAACCCTGAGAAATTGCGCTGGATCTAATCGATTATTTTAAAGGATATAATCGATTAAAATGAAAATAATGCGCAAACACAAAGGGCCCAAGCCAAGCGCGATTGGAAGCCCTTTGGGTTCTAACTCCTTGTTTGAGACAGCTAGAATAAAGAAGCGCTCCTCAAACAAATAATATCCTTATTCAATGAATTTGAATAGGGGAGAAAAAGTGAGTCCAAAAATTATTTTGTGTGTCAAACGATGTATATGAAAAATATTTAAAGTATGTTTTTCTCACCAAAGAAAATTGTGTAACTTTAAAAAAAATGTTTTAAAGAAATTTTGACACACTTATTTTGAACTGACTCACTAAAATATTTTAGACAGAGAAAAAATGATTTTTCAACTGACTCTAAAATAATTTTTATCCCTCAGAAATTAAATTGTTTTGTGCAAAAGATATTGTCATCCTTACAAGAATCCTAGACTTAATAAAAAATTAAAAAGTCTTCGGAGTCTTCACTTCTCTTTAAAAATCTGTGTGGGGCGAGCGTTGATTTATCCCGTAACTCTCTTGATACGCCTCTTTTCTTTTCTCGGTACGAAAAGTAAATTTTCGATCATCGTTTGAATTTCATCATCCTGTTTGTCATTTATCAAAACAAAAATATTCCAGAAAAATAATAAAGGGGTTCGAACTCATGTCCAACAGTACCCAGGTGTCTGGTACTTAGACAGTGGCTATTCAAGACACATGACGGGTGATGCGAGCCTTTTGAGCAATCTAATTCCCTATGATGGTCCAAGAGTTACTTTTGGAGGACGCAATGATTTTGGTCTTACCAAAGGGCTAGGAAATCTGGTGTACAAAGGACTAACCATCCAAGCTGTATCTTATGTTGAAGGCCTCAATTATAACCTTCTTAGCATAAGTCAGTTTTGTGATAAAGGTTATTCCTTGGAATTCTGCAAGGACATGGCATCTCTCAAAAACATATCCACTAATGAAGTTATTCTCACTGGGAAGAGAATCAGGAATATCTATGAAGTAATGTGGGACAATGTCAAGGAAGCATGTCTAATCAGCAAAGGTGACACTAACCTTCTATGGCTTTGCCATAAGAGGTTGAGTCATCTCAACTTCAAAACTCTCAACAAGCTGTCCAAAGAAGGGTTAGTAGAAGGTCTTCCCAAAGCTGCATTCAGAAAGGAAAGTATTTGTGATGCTTGCCAAAAAGGAAAGCAGGTCAAGTCCACCTCCAAGGCGAAATCGGCACTCTCAACTACAATGATATTAAGTCTTATTCACATGGACTTATTTGGCCCTGTTACACCAATAAGTCTAAGTGGAAAGAAATATGTCCTTGTGGTAGTTGATGATTACTCAAGATACACGTGGACAATCTTCCTCAATGGCAAGAAAGAGACTCAAGGGAAACTCACCAACTGCATGAAGCTGATTCAAAACCAAGCAAGTCAGACTATTCAGAAGATCAGATCTGACAAAGGCACATAATTCGTGAATGAAATCATCATTCACTACTGTGAAGAAAACAGATTCTTCATCAGACATCTGCAGCAAGAACACCTCTGTTGGACATGAGTTCAAACCCCTTTTATTATTTTCTCATGAATATTTCTTTGTTTTGATAAATGACAAACAGGATGATGAAATTCAAACGATGATCGAAAATTTAATTTTCGTACCAAGAAAAGAAAAGAGGCGTATCAAGAAAGTTACGGGATAAAAATCAACAGTCCCCCAACGCAATTTTTTGAAGTGATGTGAAGACTCCGAAGACTTTTTAAATTTTTATTGAGTCTAGGATTTTTGTAAGGATGACAATATCTTGTGCACAAAACAATTGAATTTCTGAGGGATAAAAATCATCTTCTGAGTCAGTTTAAAAATCATTTTCTCTGTCTAAAATATTTTAGTGAGTCAGTTTCAAAATAAGTGTGTCAAAATTTCTTTAAACATTTTCTTAAAGTCATACAATTTTTTGGTGAGAAAATACTCTTTAAATATTTTTTTCGTGTATTGTTTGACACACAAAATAATTTTTGGACTCTCTTTTTCTCCCCCTACTCAAATTCATTGAATAGGGAGAGTATTTCATTGGAGCGCCCGTTATTATTCCCGTTGTCTCAAACAACCGATTAGAAGCCAAAGGGCTTCCAATCTGACTTGGCTTGGGCCCTTTATGTTTGCGCATTATTTTCGTGTTAATCGATTATTTACTCTAAAATAATCGATTAGATCCAGCGCAATTTCTCAGGTTTGAATTCTTAATCGATTTTTTGTTTTAAAATAATCGATTAGTTTGGACAGAGCCTCCTAATCGATTATTTGCTCCACTTTAATCGATTTTTAGCTTTTCCGCAGGCTGCTCTTCTTTCGAACAATAATCGATTAATTAAATTCATTTAATCATTAGTTTGGGCAGAGCAAACTAATTGATTTTTCGTTCAAAATTAATCGATTAATTCCAACTTTGTTTTCAGGCATTCTCGCCTCTGTGTACCGTAATCGATTTAATTGTTAATATTAATCGATTAATATTATCTGGTGCATATCATCATCTCTCTTCAACGGCTTTATTTTCTTCAGCCTATTTAATCCCTCATTCTCCTTCATTTTTCATAACAATCTCTTGCACTCCAACATATTTTCCTGAGCTATTCATCTTTTGCTTCATCTTCCTCATCAAAACATCATTTTGAGAGTTAGAAATATTTTATTTGAGTGCTAAAGAAGTTGTCATCCAAAGAGCTTAAATCTTTCAACACTACTTTGCTCAATTGTGTGAGCTTTCATTCTTGTGTTGTAAACTCAATTTCATTTGAGTGTTATTCTTAAGACTTGTGTGACTCAAGTCTTGTAGTTGTAAGAAAGTGAGGCTTGTGTGATTCAAGTTCTCAAGTTGTACTGGTTTTTCAAGCACCCGTTGAAGCTTGAAGATTAGTAGGACTTTCGAGAGAGTCTCTCGGAGGACTGGACTAGCCACGAGGTGGTTAACCAGTATAAATCCCGGTGTTCTTCTTTTCCTTACTCTCCTTACTTTTTCCTGCGATATTTTTTTTACGAAAAACGTACATTCTTAAAAACAACTCTATTCAC